AATCTGTTTATGTTGGTTGTTGTTTTTCTTCTCCAATGTTGTTTGTGCATATGTCATATAGGGAAATTGCATCAAAGAAGCGAAAAGTTGGAAGCACCTCACGTCCCCAACTGATTCAGTATGATAGCGACATATTTGTAGGACCAAAGCAGGCCGCACGTTAAATGGCTCTGGAAAAAAGAAAAATTTTGCCGGAAAAAAGATTCATCATTCATTCGGAAGGATCCTACTGGATCGTCGCTGGAATTATTCATAGTAAAATGTGGTATGTGTTGGTAACACCGACGAATAGATACAATACGGAAGTGGTAAGGGAGTTTTATGCCAATGCTCTTCCTAATGATGATAAGTCGTTCACATGGACTACAAGAGTATTGGGCCGAGAGGTAAGCTTTGACCAAGACACCATCAACAGAGTACTCGGAAGGCCACTGAACCTAGGTGAAGACGAGATAGATGAATATCATCGAGACCTAAGGCTTCATAGGGACACCAATTTGATTTCCGAGGCTTTATTGATGGAAGGAAAAATAGTGGAATTGAACCCATCTGGGGTTCCAAGGCGATACCACAGGGAAGATATGAAACCCTTACCACAGTTGGTGCTGTTGTTGGTTTTGACTAACATAAAACCAAAATCACGTACTTCTACCGTGTCGATCCCAGTGGCACATTTGGTTCACTACATTCTCACTAATATTCAAATTGATGTGGCTAGGATCATTGCAGATGAAATGCAATCTATGGTTGAGAGCGGGTTAAAAGCGGGGGCGAGAGTGAATTGTCCCCTTGTTTTTCCTTGTCTCATCAGGCTTTATGTGTCCATGCGAGGGTGAAACTACCTTCGCGTAGATAAGTGACGATCCCGGCTGCCATTGATGATCGTTATATGGACAAATATTGTCGGCCAAAAGGTGAAAAAGGAAGTTCAGCTGCTTCGGGTGCTAGGGCTACTAAGGGGCCTGGTGTTGCATTCACTTAGAATTTTGATTCGTTTCAGCAGACTGTCTCCAACTATAATTAGGATTGGATGGCGGCTACTCAGTACACCATGATTGACATTTATGATTCTATGTAGGTACTCCAGTTATAGTGTCGAGATCCCTCCGTTGAGCACAACATGATGACTAGGGAGCAGTTCTTGGCGCATGCGAGTTGGCTTGAGGTCAGGCCTACATTTAGAGAGGGGGTGGGTGCTTCTGGCCCTGATGTTGGTAGTGTTGATGTAGGAGATGTGATGATGCTGATAATGATGAGTCTGGTTCTGAGGACAGTTCAGAGAGTATGGAGGGCACATAGTTTGATGAGGACTGATTTTGTTTTGTTTCTGTTTTGTGGGCATGATTATGAGCAACTTCCTTTGGTCTTCAAAGTGAAGTATTTTTGTGGTTAGATAATTGATTTTGCTATTATTATTGTACTTTGTTTCAGAATTTTTGCATGTACTATTTTAAGGTGTTTTTACATCTAAGCATGTTTCTATTGAGTATTATTAATGTCAATTTTATGTTAAAAATTTTGTTTTTCTTTTCAAGTGGTTTTTAATGTTTCTCATGCTGTTGGGCTTTAATTGAACTTCTAGATTGGTTGCTCTCTGAAAAAAAGTATCCAATGAAGATTCATCCAAGTTTGGATGGCGATGATAGTATTAAGCAAGCGAATAATGTCAAGGTACATGGTTACCTTTGTTTAGAGTCTTAGAATGCTTAAGAACTTAAATATTTATGTAAATGAAAATTTTTCTTTTAGCAACTTGTTGAATGAATGTTTCACTTATGATTAAAAAACTACGAATTGTGAGGAAGCCTTCATTATGTACTAAATGTTGGATTTCTAATAAACCTTGTCGATTCGTTTAACTAATGCTTTATCTTGTTATTATTGTGAATATATGGAAGCAGTAGAAATGATCAAGGAACTTATTTTTATTGAGCACAACCACATCCAAAATGTAATTTACCTGTGAGTATAGAGCATTCACTAACCTCCTTTGAGCCTAAACAATGTGAATCTCATTCTGATTTTGTGAGATTCTAAAAAAAAATTTTGAACCCTTGAACTTTGTTTTTAATTCTCCTTTTTGCCATAAAAAGCCAAAAGCATTCACTTGAGGGTTGAGTAAAAGTCAAGTTGGGGAGAATGTAAAAGAAGAATGGTAGGTGCTACAACTTTTAAAAAATTCAAGCAAGCATTGGAAAAAATTGTGTGAATATACAAAAAAAAAAAGGAAAGAAAAGAAAAAGAATGTTTGCTTGGAAAAGAAAAATAGTGAAATAATAAGTTGTGAAATAAGAGCTGGGAAGGTATGCGATTGAAACCAAATGGAATGAAGTTGGGATGTGTAAATAATGTGTGCAGTGAATGTCTCTTTTGCATCGGCAATTTCCTTTTAATGGCCTTAGAAATGTCCATTGTTTGTGAACCCGACCAAGCTACAACCTGAAAGACCTTAGTGATCTTCTTGCTTCCATATTTTCTTTTTTGATTATTAGATATTGTATGAATTGGATTGATAATGGCATTGTTTGTTAGATGAGTAAAATTGTCCCCGCAGTTGCAAACACGTAATTTCTTCAATCCTTATTCAAAGAGGAGAGATAAGGAGATTCATTCAAGAAAAACATAGTATTTTATTGATGTATAACTTGATTTTTGCTTTAAGACTTTAATTCTTATGCATTATTTGATTCTCAACAGTTGGAACCAGTGTCTGGTTGCATTCCTAGTGTTTGAAGCATTTTATCTATTCTTAGGAGAATCTTAATCTTGAACAAATCCTCTTGTTTGAAACAAGAGGCATACTTTGCTTGAGGGAAAGCAAAGATCTAGTTCGAGAGAGTTGCTAGATGCCAAACTTTTCTTATTTGATATATCAAATGTTGGCATCTTTCATTCTTTTTGTAAAGAAAGTGATTAGAATCATTCTTGTTTTTTATGATATGCTTTATTATGTGAAAACGTCTTGGTTGCTTTGATTTGTGTGCTATTGTGCAGGAATTAGGCATGAAAATATGAAGAGTAAGACACAAAAATTGTGACAAGGAAACCAAGTCAGCATGAAAACATCAACAAGTTCGCACAACGAACTTGCTAGCAAATCTGCCCAAAAAAACATCGACAAGTTCGCACAGCGAACTTGCCAGCGAAGGCCTTTGAGAGCATGATTTTGTTCATACATAAAGAAAATGACCCTAAGTTCGCTGTGCGAAGGAGCTGACGAATAGTTTACTGGAGCGAAGAAGAAGCGAATGCCAAGTGAACACCCCCAGACTTGAGGTAGTAAGTATTTGGACAAGAATTCGTTATGCGAAATCTGTAGCGAAGCCTTCGTACTGCGAAGGATTCTTCGCACTGCGAACATGTGGAAATAGCTCAGGGGCGTCTTCACTGTACATTGGCACTTCAACTGCCAGTTTTTATTGTTTGATAGGCGAACACATTATTCGCAGTGTGAATATGACAGCTCAACAACATGTCTATAAGTAGTATGTGGCACTTTTTGCAAAAATATATTTTTCTTATACCTTTTCTAGTTTGAGATTTTTCAGAGAAAAAAACCTAATTTCTCCATTTTTCATCATCTCTTAGCCATCTTTCACAAAAAGAAGGTGTATTTCCATCCAATCTCGATTATTCGACTCGAATGTTGATCAACCTTCTTCTGAAACTTGTTTCTCAAGCTATCATGGAAATGGGTGGCTAAAACCCCTCTTTTGTCAAGGTTAGAGGTAGCTAGTTCTGATTTTATGTATTCTTCTTAATCTTTTGTATGTGAACAAGATTTTGATCAATAAAAATGAAGTTATTTGCTATCTTTTGTTATATTTATGGTTTGGATTACTTTAGACATGAACTTTTCAAGTCTTGACCTATTTTCTTCATCTATCAACTATACAAACTCTAGACATAGATTTGGAAGTTGATATTCGCATTGTATTGATCTTAATGATTAATATTTTGAGTGTTATTTAGAGAGATCATTTAACGGTCGAAACAATAACATTCACGAAATCGCTTTAGAGATGAACGTTTTTGAGAGGATACACGATTATGTTGGTTAAAACTAAGTTTACATATTTGATTGGTTGGATACGTTTATGACGGATTATTGAACCTTAATCTTGGCATGCTTTTTATCAAACTAAAATCAAATTTTACTTTGTTTAATTTCTTACAAACTCTTATTACAAAATAGAAACCATTTTAAAAATCTCCCTTCTTAAATCATTAAACCATTGAACGACAAGTATCAAATATTCTCATCAATCTCTGTGGATACGATAAAATACTATCGAAAATACTTCAAAAAAAAATAATGTGTTTCGCAAACGTCATTATATATATTTTTCTTATTAGTGATATAGCCACAAATACAACATCCATTTAAATAATAAAAATCATCAAAACTAACTTGAGAAATGAAGTTGTGTTTCTAGTAGAAATCATGATAGTTATTTTGGAAGGAATCTTAGTACAAGTATTATTTTGAGATTTTTTAAGTCTTAATGATTGGCTTTATATTTATTATTTTGAGATTTTTTTAAAGTCTTAATGATTGACTTTATATTTATAACTACTTAAATGTTATTTGTTTATCTAGTAGTTTAATGATAGAGATTTCACTTCTAAAAAATAAATAAATAATGAATAAATAAGATATTGCAAGTTTTATTCTAAAAAATAAATAAATAATGAATAAATAAGATATTGCAAGTTTTATGATGTGCCCTACAGTGTGATGGTTTTACAGGACAACTGAAGTAGCCCCTGGTAGTATTTGAGACCTTGTTTACAAAGGGAGTTTAAATATTGCAAGTTTTATGACAAATGAATAAATAAGATATTGCAAGTTTTATGAAATACTCCTTTGAAGGTACATCTTAAATATTGGTCATTTGAGACCTTGTTTTGCTTGCTGTACAGCCATCTAAAACTCTCATTTGGATTTTCTAACAAACAGTTGTATGTATTCAGATTTCAAAGGGAGCTTGAAATTCAATTCAAGTACCATTTTGCGCAATTTCTCTCTTTCTCTTCAATGAATCTTGTTTCTGCAAGATTATATTTCTTCTAAACCTTCTGATAAAAAGATCAGCAACTTCATCAATGTCATCTTCAAGTTTAAACTCTTTCCCCGCTTCTTCCTTACAATTCTTCACCCTATCAATCACTGATCCTCCAAAATCCAATTCCTCGGAATCAAAAAGACTGTGAGTCAAGTCAGGGTACTTATCATCATCATCCTCATAGTAACCATCTTCTTGATCTTGTTCATCCACAACTTGTGCTAACTCACTTGGATTTTGCAACGCTTCGTAAGTGCGAGCATTGTTGTTATAAATAACCATGGTTCTACGATGACGATCATCAGAACTGACACCTTCTTCAATCAAACAATCTTCCTTGGAATGATGATGAGAATGGCTCCCCCAAATGGAATGGAATTTATCTGAAATTGAACTCATGAGGAACTTTTTGTTCTTCATGAGTGAGAATATAATCAAACGAGCTTTGACGGCGTTTGCTTTAGACTTTAAAGCCATAGTTTTTGACTTTGCCATTAAGGTTAAACCGGCTATGATTTTCTTCAACAACTTGGCTGTTTTGTTCTTCATGTTGCTCATTGTAGTAATAATTGATGATTATGACTCTATAGAGAGTTTGGAAAATAGTTTGGGAAAGTGAAAAAACAATTGTGGGAATGTTTAGGTTAGAGAGAGAGAAGTATGAATGATATTGTACTTTGGCACGAAAGAGTACAAGGTGTGGAAAAGGGTTTATATAGGAGAAGAAACAAGTAGGTAATTGAATAGATGATAATGTGTTATGTGTGAGAGAAACAAGTTCAAAAAAGAAAGAGTGGGGATTAAGAAAACAAAAGCAAACTGAAATAAAGTTAAAGTAGCTGATAAAGTAGGGACACTTGGCTTGTAGTGATAGGGTCTTTGAGTTATGGTTGTTTAAGTGGAAATGAATTATTAGTGGGGTTGGGTTTTGAGAGTGGAACTCTTTGCCTTTAACAAATGAATTTTAGATTTGATTTCTCTTCCTAAAATACGGTTAAGTGGGATGAAATGGTCCTCTTAGAGCAACTTTAACGCAGGTTTGTTAAATCAAAATTTTTTATAGCTTAGGTTAATAATAAGTAATTTGCATTATAAGAGAGCTGACATGGCATTCAAATGAACTAAAATTTAGTTCCCATTATCTATATAGTTAACGTTAACTATGTGAAATCTATTATAATATTATTTAATATTAATAAAATATTCCAAATATTCCAACAACATTAAAGTAAGGATATGATATTTGAAAATAGTAACGGTCATATTATCATTTTTTACCTTCTATAAATTCTATAGAAATTTTAATTTTTTTTACACACAGTTTTACTTCTAAATTTTTTTCTTTCAATTTCCAATCTTATTTATTTATTAAATGGATCCCAACCAATCAAATTCTTATTATAATTATATTCCAATGAAAATGTAATTTTTTTAATGTATTATTGTTGTGAATTTTGTATCATTTTTAATTTTATAATAAAATATGTTTAATATTATTTTTAAGTTTTTAAGGTAAATTTTATTTAAAAAATTATATATATTTTAATTAAAATAATTAAATTAATGGTAATTTGAATAAAAAATATAAAATGTGGGGTAAAGTTTTGGTTTCTTATAGACAACCACCATTAAAGTAAAAACTACTTAAATCAACTATAAATTTTTTAAATTCTACAAATCATTTTGAGTCCACAAAAAATATTTTAGTTTATCCATTTAGTTTACTCCCACTAAAGATGATCTTATTGGCTCTTCGTGAGCATTGGTGTTGTTATTGGTACCAAAGTATTATTTGGTGTCTTTATAGTTATATCAACTTAATTTGAAAACATGCGATATCTGTACATCTCATCATCTCCTCCAATACTTGATAGAGTAACCACCTGAATCACGATGCTAGGATGTAAATTATAAGTCAAGAAGTTTATATCACATTTTTCTTCAGCCTTTATATCGTTTTTCATATTAAGATTCTAGTTAATTAATTGATTGTTAGTTGTCTTTACGAGATAATCATCTATCCGTCTAAAATTTATGTGAATATGATTTTCCATTTGCCACACTATATGTTGACAGAACATAGTCTAATAATTGTTACGCCTTTTCATCACTAATACATAAAGGATATTTCACATCGGATGGAAAGGACATTTCAACTATCCGAGTTTTTTAACTGATAATTTTTCATACTTATTCCGTTGCCAATCAGAAATAGATGAAATTACATAAAATATGACGGAATGAAGCTTCATAAACAAAACAATTCGGTGGTTAGACACTTTGAATTGGAGATTGCAATCACCACTACAAAAAAGCTATAATAGTGTTTTTTTTTTGTTTTTTTGATAGCGCTTAAAAGCGCTATTAACCAAATCATTATTGTAAAACAAAATTTTTGATAGCGTTTTAAAAGCGCTATTATAGTACTGATAATTAATAGCGTTTTTCTAAAAGCGCTATTATAGTACTGGTATTTAATAACATTTTTTCAAAAGCGCTATTATAAGACACATATTAGATGACACTTTCAAACAAAGCGCTATTATAATACCGGTAATTTGCTTTGATTATGATATCACTTTCAAACAAAGCGCTATTATAAGACACATATTAGATAGCACTTTCAAACAAAGCGCTATTATAGTACCGGTAATTTGTTTTGATTTTGATAACACTTTCAAACAAAGCGCTATTATAGTACCGGTAATTTGCTTTGATTTTGATAGCACTTTGAAACAAAACGCTATTATAAGACACATATTAGATAACACTTTTCCATAAAAGTGCTATTATAGTACGTATCGTTAATACCACTTTCTCTTTAATAACGCTTTTGTAGTACACTTTTTTTTACACAAAATCATTCTTTTGGTATATATATATATATATATATATATATATATATATATATATATATATATATATATATATATATATATATATATATATATATATATATATATATATATGGCATTTGCATTTTACGACATTAGAATTCATAAAATAATAATGACTAAGCAGGTAAAATATTTGAAAATCATTTCTATATCCATTACATACATATTCAATACTTCAGGTTTAACACACTTTAGTAACAGCTGATAAATATGCAGATTACTATAAACTATACCTTGATCAAGTCGAGTAATGCACTAAACACATAAATATACAAATATAAGTCACCTTCATGGAAACCAGTGGTCAAATGATACTATGCTGCACAATGAATTTGCCAGATGCCTAAACTATACAGATAAATAAGATGCACCACAATTCACAGATGAATTGAGCTCAATACAGCACTAGTAATATCTATATGGCGAGTGAAAGACAATTTTGTGACCAGTGTTCTCCACATCTTCTTTTTCGGATTATAGATTTGAAAGCACATGGTTCCTGTCTACTTATAGGGTCTGGACCTTCGAGTTTCTGCGAAATCATCATCATACAAATGCGACAATATATACACCTCGCCAAATGCTACTACAATGCCAAAGGCTGAACCAAGGGGGGCTTTTTTTGGCACACGAGACTCGTATTCCCAACGGTTTGAAGACATGTCATAGGATAGTTTAATAATAGTGCTTTTTTTAGAAGTGCTATTTTAGTGAAACATTTTAGTAGTGTTTTTTTAAAAAGCGCTATCTTAGTGAAACATTTTATTATATGTATTATAATTAGATAGCGCTTTATGGTAAACGCTAACATAGGATAGGTTAATAATAGCGCTTTTTTGAAAGTGCTATTTTAGTGAAACATTTTAGTAGCGTTTTTAAAAAAAGCGTTATCTTAGTGAAGAAAATTAATAGCGTTTTAAAAAAAGCGCTATCTTAGTGAAGTTTAATAATAGCGGTTTTTTACAAATTGCTATCAAAATCACATTCTCTGTATTCTATAATAGCGCCCGACTATAAAGCGCTATTATAAATGTGTTTGTTTCCTTTTTAATAGCACTTTTTTAAAAGCGCTATTAAATTAGGCGATACAAAATATCAATTTTGGCGTAGTAAATCTTGATGCTTCTAGAATCAAAATGCTTGATCTTAAACGAGCATTGCTATTTTTCGATACAGTAGACCTAGAGAATACCTACAAAGTTAATACTCTAACGCACTAAATCAGTTAGAGCTCAAAGATAACTGTAGTGAAAATGAATATTAGATATTACTATCTGTGTCATTTTATCACTATCTAATATTTTTATTTTTAATTTCATTATAATAAGGCTTATCACACACTCGAAGCAACATTTTTATGTGTTTATACCCGTCACAGTTATTTTATTTTTATGTTAATTCTTAATTGTTGAATATCCTATTACCTTTAAAACTCCTGAGATATATAAACCGACTCAATTGAATTATTGAGAGAATGACATTACAAAATCAAGAAAAAAACTTTGGTTTTGTAGTTTAGCCGTTTTCATATGCTCCTTTCAATAGCTTGACCATGATTTTGGGGACCTTTGAAGCTTTAGGAACTGAAACAGGGCACACGCAAACCAGATTGAGATGGAATAACAACTATTCAATACATACATTTTATATATTTTTGGTGTAAATGACAAAAATAACCATCCACAGTGGACAAGGTGGTACCACTAACATTGCATTTGGGCTATATTCAATTGTTTTTTGTTTGAAATTGGAATCTTGATTGCATAGTGTTGTCGAAATCATTTCATATTGGTCCACTTATAGGACTGTTCAAATATTCTACGCCACTTATTTTACTATGGCAACAGATTTCAAGGCATTAGTTTGAGGAAGTTTGAAATTTGCTTGATTAAATATTGAATATAACAATTATTGTATGATGTTTATTTTGGAAAACTTAGCCTTTAAGGTTGCTCACAAAGGCCTTACAATTTATCATTTTCATCTTCTTTACTTTCTAGTGCCTTGAGCTTAATTTGTTGGTTTTCAGGTCAATGGAAGTAAAATAAATGAATAAATAAATACATGGGGGAAAAGAAAAGTATATATATTTTTATTGAAAAGAAAATTAAAAAACAACTAGGGAACAAAAAAGAAAAGAAAAAAGACACTACTCTATAATCATCAAACAACAACAAAATTAATAAAAAAGGAAGAGTTCTATCAAAACAAATTCTATCAAAGCAAACTTGATAACTCGATAAATATGTTTGATCTCACACTTTTAAATTTATTTGATCTATGAATATCTCTTGTTTAAATCATGTTTCAATTATGATCTTCTCCAAATAAATATGTCATTTAATCAAATATTTTAAATTGATTTAGATTATAATACTTCTCAACTTTAACATATTTTTAGAAGAATTAAAACCAAAACAAATTTGGAATAAAATCTAAAGAGAATCAAGACCCAATCATGTAGCACACACTTCAGGATGACAAACACCATATTCATATTTCTCAACAAGTATGCTTACACAATTTGTCATTCAAATCTTTCTTTTCAAACAACTTTAGCATAATCTTGGATTGAATAAACTTGAACCAAATTTTGTAATAAGTTTTGGAATCAAACATATAATCAAATGAGGCAAGATGAGATCTACACAACTTTTGCAA